GCATGGTAAGGTAAGTTCTGCCTAGGTGTCTGCTTCGTCCTTATGTGCAGTGCGCATTACTGAAGCAGTGCTGTTTGAAGCGAAGTTGGCCAAGGCTCTTGTGATCATAGCCGGTTTCATAAATAGGATGCCTATCTTGTACTCTCATCTTCTAGGTGTGAAGTGAGGTAGAGTTTTCCTGATGTGCACTTTTTTTATCAAGCTACAAGTTGAGAGAGCAGAGCAGAAGACTGAATGAAAGCTTTGGGATGAGCGGGAGGGATGTTACCAGTAACTTTCCTACAGGCATCCTCAAGTTGTTTGACCTGTAACTCTGTCTTAAATAGCTTGAGGATGATATACTTATTCAGATATGTCAGCATCTTGTAATAGTTGGTTTCACAGCTGGCTAGGTGGCAATTATCTCTTTTTTTTTTTTTTTTTTTTTTTTGTAGTGATAGATATTTGAATTTTGCTAAATAATTTTGTGAACTTACGAAGCGGCATATTATCTGTGCAACATGCTCTTTTTGTCTCTTGCTGAAAATCTTTGTAGGTGTGTAACAATCTAATTCCGGTGTGTCAGATTATAAGCCACCTATCATTAAAGCTGGTTAGAAGCTGGAGGTTGGAAGCCAGCTGGAAGCTGAGAGAGCATGGTAGCAGCTAGAAAAGGTAGCGGTGATTTCAGTAGAAGGTCTTTGGTGGGGTGGTTTTGTTTTTTATTCAGTCAGTACTGAATCAGCGCTATTATACAATGTGCTGTTGGAAGTGCTGTGTTCTGGCTGGAATGTTGAACTGAGAAGTTCACTCGTCTGATGAGCACGCGTTTGAAAAGATAGAGGTAATAGTTGGGGTTGTTCTGACCATCGTCTTAGTAAGGGGGGGGCAATTTCAGTGATACTAATACGGTTTAGTACTTAACATTCTCAATGTGACTTTTATTATTGCTATACTCCAACTTGAAGCTTGATACAGCTTGAAACTGTAGTTAAAGTGTTTTAAGAATAAAATTGAGTGTGAGAAGGGTGGTTAGACTTCTGGTTATGTTTTTAATATCTGAAGTGACAGCTAATGTAGAAAATTCTTTGTTAGTCATAATCAGGAAGTGTTTGTGGCCCCTTTCAGGCAATAACAAACTTCTCTGTTTAAAATTAAAACCGAAAACTTTTTAATCTAGGTTAAATATATTAGAATTTTAGTATGTTGTGCCACTGCTGTCCATTTTGCTAGAACTTATGGACTACAACTTGATAGAATTTAGGGGTTTTTTAGGGGTTTTGGTATGTTATCAGGTTGTTCTAGCTGCTGGTAGAACCACTTATTTAAATACAGCATTCTAGCCTGTGGTGACCAATTTTTAATTGTATTTAAGACAAGAAAATTTCTGTATTACTACAGAAACTGTCTACTGCCACAGTGAGCTCTGGTTTTGCAGGGAGCATGCTTGCTTGTCAGTAAGCTCGGATTTGTTCCATGTTCACTGGAAAACCTAAAGAAAGTTGACAAGTTCGGTAGTTTTTTTCACTATCACTATTTTCAAATATGAGATGTACAAGACACTTGTACACAAACTTTTTTCTTCAGTTTAGTGTTCTGATAGGTTATTTCTGCCTTCTCTATTAGACTTTGGAGAATGAGTCTGAAGTTCTGAAAATCCTTGTGGGTTTTTCGAATAAGGATAGAGAGTACTCAGAGTTAAGAAATTATTATTGTCAGTAAAGAATTGGACTGACACCTAATTTGATTTCTATGAAAAGCTCTGCTGAATTAATGAGGTGGTGGTGTTCACTCTGTGAAATTTTCAGATGCTTTGGAATATGCATGTTAATTGCCAGCTCTGAACTGGCAAGGCTTTAGGTTACTATGATGGTTTGCTACTAGTAGAGGTGAGGCATTTTGCAGCTTCTTGGTCACATGTATGCCCCTGCTGGTGGTAGTTCTTTCTTTTTTCCCCTGCCCCCCCCCCTCCCCCCCCGAAATGGCAGAATTTTCTCAGATGAAAACCAGTGAAGATCTCTGGGTTGTATAAATTTGAGGCAATGTTTCTCATGAATGTCGTCTTGCTGATGGTGTTCCAGTACCTCAGTAGTCAGTGTTAACTACATACTTGTGGTGACAATAAGCTATTTTTTTAGTTCCTTGTGCTCTGGCTGTGATTAGATTGATTTTTTTTTTTTGTGACTCTCATGCTTTGGCTTCTTTCCAACTATCGTGCTAGCACTTCTGGTTGGCAGGGTTGCCTGTTGCTGTGCAGTGAACTGGGTTGAGGTACTGAGCTGGCTATAAACTGTGTTAGAACAAGTTGCACAAATATCACTAGCACAATAGAGGTGGGTATGAAAACGGGGAATGAAGTGATAGCAAGAGAGCTATTTGGGTGCTGCTGCTGTTCAATGTGTAACCCCGGCCACAGCCAGGCCGGCCTTCTCAGCTGCCTGGTGGAGTTCTGGCAACTGTGTGCTCTGCTCTCAAAGAGAAAATGTTGAGTCTGTTTATGAATTTCAGAAAGTCTGGAAATACTGTGCCAAACCAGCAACTTCGAGTTTAGAGTAGACTTCCCCTACCTTTTGCCAGGCTTCTTAGGCACGAGTATCTGAATAGGAAGTTCATGTTCTGTGTGATGGGAAAACTGCAAGTTTCAGCTGTTGTCGGTACTGCAGTCCTAATCTGGTGTCGTGTTGTGTTCAGATACCTCTGATCTTTCCTGTCATGTCAACATGATATGACACAGTATCTTCAGCGTCTGTATGAATCATGGTTTTTAGAGATCTGTGCCATGATTTCAACCATTGGTACCTACAAGAAGGTTAAGTGAGCCCTGCTGTTTTCACGTCTCTTGTCCTTTTTTACGAAGCATCTCACTTGTTTACCTGACCCTAAGTTTGGAGGGGTAAGTCTTTCCCATGCCAATGGAAGCCCCACAGTTTTAAGACAATAGAAGGGGGGAAAAGTACACATTTTACAGCTGTAAAAAGTAAAGCTGTAAAAACTGTTAAATGTTGGGGTTGGTTATTTGTTACAGCAATTCTATTACTGCATTACCATCACTGGCATTTATCAAGTATGTTGTCTGACATGATTGGAGAATGAAAAAACGGCTGTGTGTTTATGTTTGTCCATAAAACATGTGCATCATTTCCACAGTTATAAAGTGCAGTGCAAAGTGAATCTTCCTTGACAAGTCAAAAGTTGCTGCTGAAGTCTATACAGATTATTTGCAGTTCAAAAGCTTGTTGTCCTTTGTGGAAGATACTGTATGAATTCCATCTCAAGAATGAATCTGCCTTGAGATAAGGTCTAAAGCAAGGGGCTTGCTTTAAGTATAGAGAACAACTAAGCTGTTAATATTTTTTTACAATGTTAATGCATATTTGTTTAATGATTTTTAAGTAACTCTTCCAAGCATGCTGAACAAATTGGGAGTTGAAATATGTCTCACAATATGTTATTAGTGTTGGCTGTGTTCCTTTGATGTTGGCTAATTCCTTTTGAAGAGAAGAACGGTCCACATCTGTGCAGAATATAAAACCCAGTGCAAACTCTTGGCTTTAAGAATTAGCGCATTTTTAATATTAAAATATAAGATAATATGAAATTAATTTGTGCTTAAACAGCATAGCTCTGCATATAAACAAGCCCTGTTTTTTATAATTCCTTGTGACTTTGAGGAAATTTACTTTCAGTTCACTGAAAATAAATCAATGAGAATGATCACTTTACTTTGGCAGTGAAATGAGTTCAGCTATGCTTATTGTACTTCTGACTTTGGATGCACATTGTGTATAGTAGGATTGCAAATGGACAGCAAAAAAATACCCAGTCACCTCCAAGTATTGTCTGAGTCCCAGCCTCTGTAATATAATGAAACAAAAACTACCCAACTAAACACTCTTGGAAGTTCTCATCAGCCTTACATGTTTCTAGAAATTGAGACTACTGCTCTGGTGATTGAGAGGAGTCTGGTGGCTGCTTAATAAGCCATAGAATGGTATGGTCAGGTGTTCTGCTCCAAAATACAGGCATATCACTGCAGTGTTAAAACAACTGTTTAACTTTTTGGTGAAATGATTAAACGTTTTGGGGTTTAAGAAATCTTTTGAGAAAGTTCTATTTGATTGAGCAGAAATAATGTATTGTTAAAAATAATAGGAAGTAGGATTCCAAATCTGAAGCCATTTAACGTTCATTTTTTTGATTATTTCATGGATGTGAATTTTAGCATTTCAAAAATGGATGTGCTCTGGTCCTGTTTATCATTCTTGTTACAACAGATTTTCTGCGGTCATGAGCTGACAATTGTATTTGTCATTCTGATTGAAGTAGTTTAAACACTTCCCTTATGTATGTTATCAAAACAATGTATTTCTGTGGATTTCATTAGACTTCCTAGCAGGTTAATTTTACCCCCCCTCTTTCTTGCAGTGTCTCTCTTGAATTATTTTTAAAAGGATACCTTCCAGTTTTCTGAAACTAATATATAATAAAGGTTTTGATAATTTTCCTCCTCAATTTCTGTACCTGATTTTTCAAATAACAGTACATAAAGCTAGTTAAACTCTTGCTGAGTTTTAGATTGAGTTTACTTAGCATGGATGTGTGAGATAACGTTTTTAAGAACCATGAGGGAGGAATGTTTTCATTTAAGACTGTGTTTTAACAGCTGAGGTGATAGCCAATTAGTTTTGGAGCTTTAAGAACAGATTTCCTTGTGAACTTTTAATTTGTAGAGTATAAACATTTTTGCAATGATAAAGTATCAAAGTTATTTCATAATAGAGTATTGAGGTTTTTGGGCTGTGGTGTGCTGTTTTCTCCATCACTCTTTAGGCTGATTCTGTGTACAGTTATTTATAAACCTGGCTTATCAGTGAGTATCAACTTGATCAGCTTGAGTAATGGTGGAATTTTGCTTTTATTTGTCTGTGCAAAAGAAAGGTGAAAGTTTTAATTTCAAGTGTGGTTGTTTGACTGCTTACTTCCACTTCTTCCTTTCCCTTCTGAAGCTGGTTGGTGGTGCAATGGAAGAAGCTGGATCTCAGGAGATGGCAATGAATAACCAGGATCAGCTGGTGAACAGCAAGTGCAGTGAATTGTCTGATACAGCATTGCAGCATGTGCAGTCCAACTGTCACGGCCTGGAGAACACGGGCACGTTGGAAGAAGCAGAATATATTACAAAGAACAGAAAGCACCCAGGGACCATGTGCTGCTCTCAAGAGTCTCGTGAGGAGACTCCTGGTAGAGAAGAAGCCCGTACTGATCCACCTGATGGCCAACAAGATCCAGAGAGTGAAAAACACAAAGAGAAAACTTTGGGTATGTTCTCTTTGGCGTTTTGATTTATAAATGGCTTTAGTATTTTTATAAAAGAGCCATGCATTTGCTCTGTCTTTGTCTCAAGTTTACTCTGTAGCCAAAACTTGTCATCTTTAACAGGGTGTTCTGAGAAAATGTGCAGCTCTGCTTAGGAAAAGACAGTTCTTAATGCATATGTAAGAATCCTTCAGCTGGTAACACTATTTTCACAGGAACTTTAATAATAATAATGTGGTAATTACTAATCAACTTTTTAAACTTTCCAGTTGTTGGATTAACTTTTAAATTTGAGATTGCGGTGTTTAATGCTACCAAAGCACTGCTCATATTTAAATTCCAAAGGCTTATTAAAAACACTTGTGTGAATATCCTTTCTTAGCAGAACTTAACCTTTTAAGTTTTACTCTTTCATATTTTTCTTTTTATCTGTGCTATTATAAATTATAAGACAGAAATATTTTTGTGGTTTTAAGGTTAAAGTAACTTTTGCTATCTAAGTTGCGTAATGGCACGTAGGCAAGACTAAGTTATTCTTACTGTGATGACTTCCCATTTGTCGTCTGTTAGGATTATGCAGCTATCAAACCAGAGAATAACTCAACTAATTTCTCATGGTTCTATATTTTACTTCTAAAGAAAGGCTGCTTTTCTGGTATGGTTTTTTCTCAGTGTGGTTGTCTTTCATCCAATTCATAGGGAAAGAAGTGCTATTATTAATGCAAGCCTTGAACACACTTTCTACTCCAGAGGAAAAGCTGGCAGCTTTGTGCAAGAAGTATGCTGATCTGGTAAGTAATTTGTAAAGATAGCAGGAGTTATTCATGTGTTAATATTAACTGTGGAATGCAAGAACTTCTAATACAGGACAGATAATGATTTTGAATATTTCCCAGTGTTGGTAGGAAAAAAAAATAACAAAACACAACAATGCTCAGGCTTATTATGTGTATTGCTTCAGCCAAACTTGCATGTAGTCATTTCACTTCTACATGACTGCCTAAATCCAAAGAAAAAAGAGCTTATAATAACTTTTTGATAATTTGATGTTGAAGCATAACATTAGGATTAACAGAAAAGCTACGAGTTTCTTTTGTAAGTAATTATTTTCTTAGTTTTTTTCTGTTGATAATGCTTTTGTGCTAGCATTTTATAATTTATACCCTGTAGGATAAAAGGAAAAAACATACTGTGATACAGAGATTGGGGAGGGGCAGGAAGTTCAGTTATACTTCACTCTTAAGTGATTTTTGCGGAGTAGATGGAAAGATCTAGGTTTAATTTTTTGTGCTTTCTGATCATGCAAAGGAATGGATAGAAAAGTATACATTTCTTCAGTAACAAATCAAGAAGGCAAAACGTTAGCAGTAATTGATCATAAAGTGCATTCCCACCCCAAGTAGGAGAAATGATAATTTATTCTCAAATTTAATTGATTGCAAAAGATGGAGCAGGGGGAAGGCTCATAAGTTCACTTTGAATGTGCCTAGAGACAAAAATGCTTGACTTGTTCATCTTGAGACAGGGACAGACAAGAATGGAAATACTGTGTATGTTTTTCCACCATACTTGTAGGTATAAAATGAATGCAGAACTAAAGAGATAACTGAATAGCTTGACAAAAGCATAAGATTTTCCTTCTGTAGATGTTAGGTGTATTATATATGGGACTGTTTCTGAAAATGGCATGATGGCTGCAAAACATGGCATTACTCTTCTGAAATAAATTTATTTTTCCTTTGATAGATTAATAATGTCTCCAGAGCTTTAAGGATGAGCTAGCAGTTACTCTTCTTACTCACAGAAGCAATACAAATTACTTAAGAATAGACTTAGATTAGTTCTGTTTAGGAAATACTGAGTCCTCCTTGGAGGTCTGTTAACGTTTTTGCTTTGGTTTTCTTGCGCTCTCTCACATGCATGCTCTTGTTCACATGAGTGAATTTCCTTCAAAACCAGCAGCTTTTCCAGGAAGTCACTTTCATTTAAATGAGAAACAATAATACTTCCATAGTGCAACTTGAGGATGGGGAGCCCACCTAAAAATGAGCTTTGATATTGTGAGAGGAAAATGCAGTAAATGGGTTAGTTCTTATGAGCAGTTGCTTGTGCATGTGATGCCTTTTCTATTGAGAGAACAGCTCCCATGTCAAATCACAGTGGTGATGATGATGGCCTGCATGAGGAGCTAGGTTGGCATGAATGCCTTACTTCTGCAGAAAGAAAACAGTCTGCACCATCTTCAGTTTGAGTTTTCTTGTTGAAGGAAAGATCTCAAAACAATTAGGGAACAGCTGGACCGAATTTATTGTAATTTCCTTCAGAAAGCTTGGCAATCAGGAGAGATGTGTTCATGTTATGTTTTTTCCACTCCCAGGAGAGGATCCGTAGTCTATAGGTAGACTAAGCATTTACAGTCCATAGATAGTCACCATCCTAGAAAACCAGGTGCTTTCCCCGTGATGCTCAGAACTGCTGGGAAGTTGGGTGGGAGCTTGTCTGGGTCTAACAGTAGCTCCGTTTTAGCTGAATGAGTCTTAGAGGTACTCTGTCCCACTTAGAAAGATTAGGTTGGATCTGGTTGTGTTCCTTTTAAGATGCATTCTTTTCTTCATTGATAGTGGTGGTGAACCACTGGCAGAGGTGTCAGCTTTAATGCCAGCAGAGGTTTGAACTGTTTATAACAGTGCACCTACAATGCTTTTTTTCTTTTTTTAAAGATTCATCATCTTTAAAGCTCACTGTCAGGTTTTTCAGTGGTGTCTCATGAAAAGGACTGTACAATAAAGGTAGGAATGCCTCTCTCCTGGCAAAAGATCTTCCACAATTTTTTTTTTTCCTAATTTGGAATCTATCAGGAGATCAATTTGTGATGCAGGAAGGCTTGCATCCTTGGTGATATGTCTCACGCTGGCATACTTTTACAGGCCTGAAGTTTCATAGGTATGCAAGCAGCACAGCCACTTGGAGTGTTTTTTCTGGCCACCCAAGAAAAGGGCTTTTTATGTTTGGATGTCAAAATACCCCCTTAACATTCCTTTTCTCTGAACTGGATTAAATATATGTTTAATTTACTGTTGTCATGGAGGTCCTTAGCTTTATTTATTCTTTCTTCTGTGCTTCAGCATTATTTTGAGCTCTTTCAGAAAACCAACATTGTATTATTCTTCTGTCACGGTGATGTTCCTTGTTGCCAGCTTGCTTTTCCTGTGGTGTCCTGAGGCTGAGGCACCGTCTAATAAGGAGCAGTGTTACACTTAACATTGCTACCTTCTTTACAATAGAACAGACTGTCAATAATACGGTTTCTTGGGGAGCCCAAAAATCATGTATAATGGAACTTACTCTCAACTAGATATTAATGCAACAAAGTTCTATTCACTGGATATTCATAGAATAGATTTTGAAGTCAGCACTGTATACAAAGTTTAATGCTGTCCTCTACCGTTGGACAGCCTAAAGGAAATAAAAATTTTGCTTCAGATGGTTGAGACTGTAGATCTCTTAAGTCATCAAAGTCTGGGCTGTGCAGCTTTAACAGTGTTTGACTTGATTTGTCAGGGCTACTAGTTGTATCTGTTCCTTTCTGAAATACCTTAGCATTCTACAAACTTTTATCAATTACTGCTTCCTTTGGTAGGAGCTCCTGCTGACAAGAACGAACTCTACACAGTTCTATGGGGTTTTTCTTTGACAGTAAAAATAAGACCTGTTGGATAAACAGCTGTGTGTACATTACAGATAAGAGAGTGGAAGAAGTTGTGACTTGTTGAAAAGCCAGTCTCAGTTGGCTTTTAATTTTATCTGCCTCATCCTGCTTTCTCAGGACTAGTCCTACCCCTGTAGCTGAATGCAAGCTGATAGCCCATGGTCAGCAGGTCCATGATCCCTGTTCCTCAAAGGCAAATGTTTGTGAAGTTGGGATTTGTGTATTTTTGTCTTCTGTCCTTACACATTGAGAATTGTCTATAGGATGATGGGAGTTTCTCTTTTAGATCAACTTGGGGGTCTCAGTGAAATTATTTGACTTCCTTACTTTCATCTGAAATGTTGAAAAGTTTGTTCAGTCTGCTCATCTAGATGCATAAAGGTAGTTTCACTTATGTTTGTTTAATAAATATACTCTCTAATGCTAGTTGGAGGAGAGCCGGAATGTTCAAAAGCAAATGAAGATACTGCAGAAGAAGCAAGCACAAGTTGTGAAAGAGAAAGTCCACTTGCAGAGTGAGCATAGCAAGGCCATTTTGGCACGTAGCAAACTGGAATCTCTCTGTCGGGAGCTTCAGCGTCATAACAAGACCTTGAAGGTTAGTTCATTTACATAAATTACAGTGCCAGTGGTGGTGGAAATTTTACTGATTACTGCTTAAAATCAGGACTGCTGCTTTTTACTTACCACTTTGCCCATTACCTGTACCTGCAGAAGATGATGTGGTGTAAGTGTAACTGATTTTAAGGTAAAAAATATGGGCATGGCTCAACTTGCTGAGTTGGTGGGTTTTTTCCTCCTCAAACTGGTTCATATTACTTGCAGTATGTGATCTTGCCATATTTGTTTCTGGGAGCGGTGCTGATGACTGCTGGAAAAAATAGCGCGAGTGAAATAACAGCAGCATGAAATGGCAAGGTATCAAAAAAGGCTTAATTCTGTCAGAATATAATGGATGGGAGTGAAATGGACGAGAGCCAAGAGATTCTTATCTGTGATCACTGTAGGAGATTTCTTTATAGCATCAGTGCTGTATTTAACATCTGGGTAATTCTTATGCTCGTGAAGGTACTCATGTGGCATCTTATAAAACCAGGCTCTGAGTAATGTTGGTAATCATAAGGATAAGATCTCTAAAAGTTTGGGAATTTCTAGATTTTTCTTTCCATGCACTTGATACGGGTAGTCAGCGTAGCATATTGTGATTGTGGCTTACATTAACTCTAGCAGTGTAGAACTTGAAACTGTACAGAAGTGAGTTATTAGCATTGTTCCTGACTCAAAAATATGAAAAAGGTGTATGGTTTGGCTTGAACACGTTAATATTCTCTCATAAAAGGAGGAAAACATGCAGCAAGCACGTGAAGAAGAAGAAAGACGGAAAGAAGCAACTGCACACTTCCAGATTACACTGAATGAAATTCAGGCTCAACTGGAACAGCATGATATACATAATGCCAAGCTCCGTCAGGAAAATATTGAACTGGGGGAAAAACTGAAGAAACTCATTGAGCAATATGCATTGCGAGAAGAGGTGCTCACATTATGCTTCTAATGGGATTCTGTTAGTTCCTTGACTGTAAATACCAGATAATTATTTAAAGGGGAGAATAAAACCCTAATATTTATAATGGGAGGGCATATAAGAATTATTCTTTATCTTATTTGTTTTGGTTCGCTCAGGTTGGGGGGTTTTGGGGTGCTCTTTTGTGTATATAGCTCTTTTTATTGACGTAGAATCCAAGTAAGCTATCGCGCTTTAGAAATGTATTTGGGCTGGTGTCATAGAAATGACTCTATATTGTAGGGCTAACTGAGCTAGCTTTAATTGGCAGCAGTATGTAAGCTAGCCAGTCTAAGCTACAGTAGGGAAAACCAGCCAATTTTCCTTGTCAAAGAGAGCTAAACTTCAAGGGGTTCTACAGCTAAGATTAGTTTGCTCGTTCTTAGTTGGCACAGGAGGTTTGGAATACGATTTCTTAACTTTTTGGTTTGTTGTGGGTCTGGTTTTTTGGGGGTTTTGTTTGTGTGGTTTTTTTTCCTTTTGAATCTGGCTCAGTTAGAAAGCTCTCTGCAGACTAGTTCCTCACCTTTTGCAATCATGCAATATTTGTATCTACCATAAGATGATTTGGGGAAGAGAAAAGGTAGGAAACTGCCTTGTGCTACTTTACAGATGGAAGCAGGACTGCAAAATTCAGTGATTTAGGTGAATTTCACCAGCTAAATAAACTGTTGTTGCAAACTTTGCTTGTTTTGGGCTTTTTTAATTATGAACACCAGAGCTTTTAGAAGGAACGAAGTGCAATAGGAATTAGAGGTAGTACACCAGCTTTAGAGGAAAGGGTATAGACTGCTTGTTACAGGATTTTTAAAATGTCTGATGTGAAGTGACTGACAGTTTTGTACCAATTTAGTAAAATATGCATCTGGCTTCTGTGAAGGACAAAAAAAGAGTAGTTGTATGGAGATAAAGGGAGAAAAAAGGCATGTAAAAGTCTTTTTGCCTCTTTCTTTTGCACGAAACTTCTAAACGGTATGCATCTGTCCTTACACGTACTCTTACCTTCATTGGTCAGTTGACTGTTTATATTTGACTAATACGATTTTCTCTCTTACTTCAGCATATTGATAAAGTGTTCAAACATAAGGAATTGCAGCAGCAACTTGTGGATGCCAAACTTCAGCAAACTACCCAGCTTATTAAAGAAGCAGAGGAAAAACATCAGCGAGAAAGAGAGTTTGTAAGTGAATTCTGTGTATGTTCAGAGAAAAACCCAAAACCCACCAAACCAGATTTTTCATGATTTAAAGCAAATACAGCAAGTTGAGGGGGCTGTCTTTTGAAAGTTAGGATAAATTTCAGCAGTGAGACTGAGATTAAAGTTTTGCATGTGTATGATGCATACAATATTAATGTCTGTATTTACAGGCAAGTAATGTTACTGATTGCATTTTCTCAGCAAATGTGCTGGATATCATTTAGATTTTTGGTAGACTGGGAAAAGTCTTGAGCTGAAACACCAAAGGTACTTCCTGTCATGAGTTGTAACTTCTGCTTTTATGCTATAAGAAATCACGAATGTAGAATAAAGCATATGATCTTCTGAACTGTCCAGAAAACTATGCCTGATGTTTTAGTTGTATGTTGGTAATCAGCAATTTACTTGCAGTCTTCAAAGTAGTTTGCTTCCAATTAAGATATAATAGATTATTTTTTGTGCTCCTTATGTATCTGTAACTTCTAGGCAAAAGCTTTGCTTTTCCTGTATAATCTTAAAATAATCATCCGGTGTTGGATGGTTCTATATTTTTGAAACATAATTTTGGAATCATAAACTGATGAAAATCTCTTCAAAGGTGAACCTGCAAAGTGGTGTCAAGTTGAAGCAAAATTGGTTTGAACTAGTTTGTAAAGGTACTATTAGTGACTGGAGAAGTGGAGGTGGAAAATAAATTAGGGAGGTTACAAAACGGTTACAAATTACATCCAGTTTGTTAATGGACTACTTGTGTAAATTTAGCAGTTCAAACTCGCTACAGAAATAGAAATACTGAGTCATGCTACCGATTAGAAAAATGTCTCAATAAAAATTTCTGCATGCCAGCATATGCTTTAAATCAAATCGTATATATGAAGGTATAGTACAGTAATAAAAAAGCCCCTGTGAGAAGATACGGTTGAGTGGCCCTTAGGTGATGTTAATGTTTGTTCATTTTTCATCATAGATCAAGTTAAACCATTCTTAGGAGTACTTTCTTCACTATGTGGCTTTTTGCATTGTCTTTTAGCTGCTAAAAGAAGCTACTGAGTCCAGACACAAATGTGAACAGATGAAGCAACAGGAAGCTCAGCTGAAGCAGCAGGTATCTTTTTTTTTTTTAATGGAAGTTTTCAGTAACAGTTGTTCTGAAAAGAAAATACCAAGAGATTTGTGATTGTAGTGAACATAAAGCAATACATGAAAAAACTAAATGTTACCATTCATCAGACAATACACTACTTGTGAAAAGTACTTGGTGTTTTTTTAATTAAGTCTTCAATTTAATTTCCAGTAGGTAGCTCTTCGGTAGTGAAGTGTAAATTGTAAAGACTTGACGTTTTGTACTTGCTGTTTAATGTGTCTGGAGAGCACTGTTACTGCAAGGTGCTAAACATGGAATTGCTGGAGTTAGTATCCTTTTAAATTAATAGTGTTAATATTACAAAGACTAGAATATATGAAATCTTAAGAATCTATTCATTGTGGCAGCTACTTCACCGTTCCTTGGCTTCTCTGAAGCTGCTGTTCTCTTCTAAAGGTATTTTTATCTATTTTTTGGTAGCTGTTCAGCACCAGAGAGGCCTTTGTGACTATAAAATGTTGGGCAGAGATTTTTACCCAGGCAGCTTTTAGAATTTGTGCCTTACTGTTTCCATCTTGTCCTGTTGTGGAGGATTGGAAGCAAGTAATGTCACATTTATCCCTGTATTTATTTAGATTCAGCAACCTGAGTGTCTCTATTTGCAAAAAACCTGCTATCTTCAAATTGTTTTCTTGCTGTAAATGCCACGGCAAAATCCTCTCTTGAGTGGAGAGATGGTATCTGGTTTTTGTGCTGTGGTTCTGGATTTGCTGCAGTCATTGGCCACACATGAGCTCAGCACGTAAGGCCAAGGGAAACGGTAGGTTCAGCTAACATCATGAGAAGCAGTGGCTATTCCTTTTATTGTATACCTCTTCTTGCTTCGGTTTTGTGAGGTTTTGTATTAAGTCTCATTGCAAGCTCCGTTTCATGTGCTTTTTTCCACACTTACTGTACCGAATTCTTTTCCAGGCTTTCCAACAGTTGCATTTAAGTGTGCGTGTGTGTAGTTAAATGTAACCATACACACACATTGCCATTGGACTTGAACTCATTAATATCCAAATTCTCCCAGAGAGATTTTTGCCATGCTTGGTCTTTTATGATTTTTTTCAAGTTGGTTACCCTTTATTTAAAATCCCACTGCCTTTTTGTTATGCTTTTTAATAGTAACAGTGTGTTTAGTTTGTGGTTTCCTGGAGCCGACAGATTTTTTTTTTTTTTTTTTTTTTTGGTGGCATAAGATACACTGGAAAGTTCAGTCACAATAACGACAGAGTCATGATGTCCTGTTGACAAGCTAGGCTAATTCTGTTATGGAATTTCCTCTACTATTAGAGCAAAAGACAATATTGCTGTGCTCTGAATTGTATTGTCCTGCAACCCCCAGTGTAAGAACTGAGAGAACTGTAAGAACTTACTAGTAAATGGTCTTGTATTCTTAGAACATCAAGTCACACACTGGCAGTAGAAGTTGTTTAATAAGAACCATAATGTTTTTTCTTTTTTAAACTGTTAATTAACATGTTTTGCAGTTCCTTCTTGATGATTGAACTTGTGGTGCATGGCAAGAAAATTTTCTGTCATCAAACGTTAATGCTCTTCTCTTGTTAAAATGCAGTGCTTCTCATGATTAAATGAACTCCTTGTTAATATTCACTTTCCATGATTTTTTGCTCACTGGGCAGATATCATAGGTTGTGAATGTGTATTTTGATTTCTGGAATCAATCATGTTTATTTTTTCCCAGCCTTGGTTATTAGCTCTGGCTGGTTAAGGTGGAAAGGTAGGTCTTTTCTAAGGTTAATTTCACTAACCATGCGCTGGATTTGCTGTATACCTATATGTCCACAGATTTCTTTTTTTTTTTTTTTTTTTCAGTGGGGAAGCAAAAATGAGATAGTGATGAACTGTGGTGTCTTCCAACACTTTATTAAACTTTATTAATAGCCTTTTGACTTCAGAATATATTACTGTTCTATAAACACAGAACTCTCCTTTGTATATAATTCGAATAGCACGTTTTCAGACAAGTTCCACGTGCTCCTCAAATGGAAATTGTAGGATAGTATAAAAAAGATGAAGCTAGTATTCTACTATTTTGAGTCTAATTTTGCTTTGTTCCTTAATATTTTTGTATTTGTATATAGCTGCGCAGATTAATGTTCCTGCCTCTCTTTCCAACAGCTTTCTCTTTACATGGATAAGTTTGAAGAATTCCAGACCACCATGGCAAAAAGTAATGAACTCTTTACAACCTTCAGGCAAGAAATGGAGAAGGTACTTAGAGGATTACTTAATTTCATAAAAAGTAATGTTAAAAATGCATGCTGTTAGTGGGATGCGGTTTAGATTTTATAACAGTGTTTGCCTTCTGAAGATATATGGAGTATTTTGACATTTAATTTGGATCATAAGATAGGGCATAAGAATTTGTCATATTACGTAAGAAAAATGTAAATTTTCCTGGTTTTTGACATAACTTGCATAATATCTAAATCCCAGTTTCAGTGTTTTATCAAAGGCATACAGTACTTCTCGGTCATTTGGCTGTGCTTATGTTTTAAAACTTCTTTTCCTGGAGCTTTTTATTAGTTGTACTCGAAGGTTGCTAGTCTGTTTCTTTTAAGAATCAATCTTGTTTTCTTTGAATGCAGAATCTGTATTTGTGGGCTTGATTTTGTGCAGAAAGACTTTTCTGTAAAATAGCTTGTTCAAACTGGGCTTGGAAAGTAACACGAAGAAGTTGAATTACTCGTGTAAACCTACCTACGTTGCAACACAAGCCACAAAATTAAATCTTTCATTTATCTTTTGTAGATGACAAAGAAGATTAAGAAACTGGAAAAGGAAACCATAGTGTGGCGTACAAAATGGGAAAACAACAACAAGGCTCTTCTGCAAATGGCTGAAGAGGTAATTGTCTTTTAAGCAGCAGTATGGCTAAACTAGAGCCTGTGTCCTGGAGAGCTTCATACAGTTTTTCAGTTCTAGAGAAGTGGAAATAATACAGAGTAACCTCTTCTTGGGTTGTCTGCCTTATGTTTTCTGTTGAGTAAATGGTTCTGTTCTCCTCGGACGCGGAAAACAAAAAGCTGCTGTATAAATCTAAATTCATGACACACACAAAGATTCAGCCTCATCTTTCCTTGCTTACTGTTTAATCGGTGGGATAATGTGTATGAAATCATACAAGCTGAGTGAATCGACAGTATTTTAATAGGCTGAGCGAAGTTCCATCAGTGCTGCAGTAGAAATCTATTTTAAATATAAAAGACTGACATGAAGGAAATAACCCATGTCTAATGGATCAGTTACTTTCCTGCACTCCTGCTGCTGTTGAGGTCACGAGGTGCCACTACTTAGCTGTAGTCCAGCAAGAGAGGAGGTAAACCAGTTTTCACACAGGCCGTGGGCATCCAGTTCTACCTACGCTGGTTCAAGTGTCTTGGCCTGGTTCGGCAAGGTCATGCCTAGGTCGTGTAGGCTCTGCTGTAGCACTGCTTATCTTTCTCTGTTCCTTCAAGGAGCTAGGTAGGAGAGCATGAGTATGGTACCTTCTGACCTGGATTCTGCCGCTGGGTCATAGATTTCCCGCTTGTGTGCCCTTCTGCTCCCTCTAGTTGCCACTGCTCGGGTTGCAGTTGAGTGCTCTGTGGGACTTCGGATCGGGATCCTCACTGAAACTCAGCCCTTGCTTACGATTAGCATTATGTGGTTACATAGTTCCCAGTGCTTGTTTCTAAAGGTGTCTGTTGCCGCTCCAGCTTAGACAAACCATCTGAAGGGTAGTGGTCAAGTATTCCCAGGAAATTTGCTCTAGTACAGCTGGGATTTGACCTACTGGATTAATTAAGACTTAATATTCAGGATTATATAGCGGTGGCTTTTTCATTAATTCAAGGGGAAAAAAAAAAATCACAGTTGGATCACGGAGCTTTTATTTTCTTTTGTCCTTCAGAAAACAGTAAGAGATAAAGAATACAAAGGCTTTCAAATAAAACTGGAGCGTTTGGAGAAGCTATGCAGGGCCCTTCAGACAGAAAGGAACGAGCTGAATGAGAAGGTGGAAGTCCTTAAGGAGCAGGTTTCTCTTAGAGAAGCAGATGTGGATCTGGCTGTGCAGGTGTTGCAGTCCTGCACGCTCAATTCCCACGATGAGCTGGGAACTCCCACTGACACGGAACCAGGAATCCAACCCGACGTGGAATCGCGTGCAGCAAATGGCTCCGAAAAGACTGTCTCAACAAGTCCTGTTCCTGGCACTGAATCTGTAGACTAAAACGAAGTGTAAACACTGTATTGAGAGATATATTTTGTGTATAACTTTCTCTGTTGGTGGTAACTATTTGGTTTTGTGGTGAAAATTTTCTTACTTTTTCTACCATATCTGTATTTTCTTAGAACTACTGGACTTATGTGGTACAGGAAGCTGCATAGCAGCTTTAAATAGCTTAAACTATAAATTTTCCACAACTGTGTTGCACATCTGCCTCATTTTTTAAAAGAAAAATATTTTTCCATAAAAGGATGCATGTGCATTTCCTTCCCCACAACACAAATCACTGTCATGGAAGACCGTGTACAGATACAATATCGCTCCGGGGAAAACAGTGACAGCAGGTCACTTCTTTGGTTTAAAGAACAGCATTCTGATTTTGTTCGTTGATTTGCCACTCAGTATACTAAAGATTACCAATTTTTCCAGTAAATTTATCTACATAAGGGTGTCTAATGGCCAGTAAAAAATGTCAGCTTTCCCCTGTACTATGTTTTCAGATACATTAATGAAAAAGTAAAGGTCCAGAATATAGTAAAGATGTGTAAAGGGTTTTATGTACTTCATGGTATGAAAGAACAGCTTTGAAATACATTAATTAGCGGCTGGTGAAACAGGGTGTACAACTTTTTGCAGACTTCTCAGGGTTGTGTTGTAAAGGTTAGTTTGGACTACTTGCCCTACCTGTGATCATGTTAAATATAAATGCGTGAGAAAATGTACAGTGATGTTACCGAGCGGAATTTCGCAGTTGTGTGGCCTGTCGCACAGGTGTTGGTCGTGTTCTTCCCTCTTGGCTGCAGTATGTCCGTCGCATGGTTATCCTGACTAGAGAAATCCCTTACTGTCTAGACAAATCTCTGGATTATCCGAAGGGCTGGAAAATAGACGTTTACTGCCAGAGTGGGAAGTGGAAGACACGAGGCTGTGGAAGGCATGTAGGTGTTCTCCGGTAGCCCCGTATGCAATGTATTTAGGCGTTAGTTAGGCGTATACTGGTTGTAATTGAACGTGTAGATTCAAATACTTTGCCTGAAGTACAACGTGGAGTTTCTTGCACACTCAGCCTCCAAGCTGTACCAGTTGGCAGAGTGCCTTCCCAGTTAGGTTATCTGGTAAAGATGGTACTTCAAATTCTTACGCCAACATACCGCAAGCAAAGCTCCCTTGTTAACCTTAAACCATATTGTCTTTTCTTAGAAAATTTGATATCCACATTTTTACTGCTTTTTCCTGAAAGAAACTAGGACCAACGTTTATTTTTTGGCAAGGCAATGTGTGTAGTAACTACAAGCTACCCTTAACTTTAGTTCCCCTGTCTTTACTTTCTAGTTTTGGTTGCTGTCATTTTAAGAAATACGAACGCGTGTAGCCTTTTCTGGTACTTAAAGTTCTTTGCACTTACCTGGGGAGGGGATTTCTGAATCAAGCACATCTCTCAATGAGCTTCCCACCCTCGTTGCCCTTGGCAGTTTAGTGGCTAAATTACTTGAATGTTCAGGCTGCACTGAGCTCCTGATCCTTTTCCTGTAGTAATGTACATTGAAATAATGTAGCTGTCTCTGAAAAGAGAGTAAGGTTATGTAAGGCCTGATAAATGTGTTTTAGCTCATACCACTGAGAGGAACTGTGCAAAACTGACATTTCTGAACTGGTGGAGCAAAGTGGGAAGCTGGCCATCTTTCTCCCAGACCGGTGCAGTTTTTGTGTTTGTGGTCCAAGCACAATGCAGGAATGAAAAGAAGGTAGCGATGAGCAGTCAGTCAGGTTCAACTCGGAGCTTTGAAATGGTAATCGTGCTTACCACGTGGCATAAAAAATCCTGGAAAGAAGTATTTCAGACTTGATTTTCAAATGACTTGCTTTATAGAATCAAACTGTTTGAAAAATAGTTGTTGCGAGAACTGGTTTTCAGCTAACACTAAGCATGAAGTAATTTTCCTGAGGAAAAGTGAAAAACTTTGTATCTGATGCATCATACCCTTGGCAAGGTAGGACATGCAGTTTTCTATTTTTACAATTTATTATTTGGACATTTGTATCTTTAACAATTCTTTCTATAGTGCTTGTTCTATATGGAGGCAAGAGTGAATTTATGGACCCTGCTGCAAGAATATTTTAAAGGGCTTTTAGAGACATGATAGATGTATAGAACAGCAATACAAATATATTTGTTACTGACTTAATATGTAAATGAAGCAGAATGCCCCAAGTGAAAGGCTTTTAAAATGGGGATACCTTTTCTCATTCCTACCCTTAACGTACCCATATCATATCAACTTATCTGGCCAGGGTGAGCTGTACTTTGCTTCCTGAAACCAGTCAATACAGTTTCATGCATTGCTTAAAGTGTTGTTTAAAAAAAAAAAGAAAATTAAAAAAATACAAATCCATATAAGGGATAAGCTCGGCACTCTTAACTGATCTGCCATACAGCAGGCTATTGCACTGCCAGTCTGCAGCCAAATTGGCTCCAGTAGGGTTTTTAAGTAAATTGGTATTAATGCCTTTCTCCCACTACCATAAACTGTTTAACCTGGGCTGTAAACTGATGTAGCCTAAAATAGGTCTGTCTAATTGTCAAAACTCTGGGGCCTGATTGACAGTTTCACCATGATTAAGCTGCAAAAAGCAAAATTTTATGTGATCCAAGACCCAAATATGTGTATACGTACACAAATAAGTTAGAGCTGTATCTCTAATGTTTTGTCCTTCCTTTCATTACACCTGGTTACGTTACAGTTCAATTCTCAGGTGTTGCAGAAAATCTACCTCTTTGGACTGTAGATGGAAATAACTGTGAAAAAAGTGATGCAGAAATCTAGTTTGTGCTAAACACACTGCTTTATTTTTACAACCCACGTCTGCTTTCATGAGGAAAAATGATAAATGAACAGGCAGTCTTTGTTTTGCTTTTCAAAAACATTTTGTAGAGATTTTTCACTAATGTGAATCTGAAATTTTATCTACTCGATTCTGTATAGATTAAGTAAATAAGTATGCTTAATATATTGGACTCTGAGTTTTTCTTTAACCTCCTGTTCATGTCTTCTATCTTAACTGGATCTACTGAACTCACTGTATTTGCTTGAAAACTCAAGAGTGAAAATTAAAAGATGTGAAACTTGAGTTGGAGAGTATTGTTCAAGTGAAATGCCCCAAGAGGGGTGCTGTCACAGGGTCACGTCGATGACTTGCTGGTGGCTGCTGGCAGCCAGAACAAGCGGCCCAGGCAGAGCATGGCGAGTGTGGCCCGGTGCCTGCCCCGCTCGCCCAGCAGGCTGCGGTTTGGGGGTGACCTGAGGCGGGGGGCAGGGCAGGAGCCCTGGCTGAACCTGGGGCCGCCTGCTCGGAATGCTGCTTGTGCCTTCTGTCTCCAGAGAGTGACCTGCTGTAGTTCACTTGGGTGCAGCGTGAAAAATATGGGGGCTTATGTTAAAAATCGGGTTGTCTAGTAACTTTATCAGGTGCTCCCCGTTCTGCCATGCGCTGTAGGGTTTGCTACTAATATACAGTTCCCTCCCAGGTTCCTAATGCGAAGTGTCCGTTTGCCTTTTTTTGGCGTATTCCCTAACATTTGGCAACTCCCCTAAACTTACGAAAACTGGTTTTGAGTTCAGTTTTCCTTTATGTGTACTTCTTTCTAGGTATCACATAGACTTGTTTTACAGCAACACGCCATGATGTGCTCTGTGACTCCTTGAAGATGGTATTCATTTTTTATTTAAATGAAGTTCTTCGCTTGGTTGAACATGCCCATTTTATAAAAGCTGAGCAATGTAAGTCCTACCCCTCGGCCTTTTCTAGAGCTGTGCCAGGTATTTTGGAAACCCAAGTATGTTGCCTGGTCTCAGTTGCTGTCCTTGTTTGCTCCTTCAAAGTATTCCCTCACATTTGAGACTCATCTCCACAAAAGGCGCTGCCTCTGCCCCTACATAAGCATCTCTACTATTTCTATCCTTTCATACGGTGCATACTGATACGGAAGTCAAATCTACTGTTAGTAGTTCCGTGGATCTCCCCAGTCTTCCAAAATTCCTTATAAAAACCGGTCAGATGTGCAAGCTTTTGCTAGAGATAAGTGTGGTTATACATCACAGCTAATAGCTGGTGAGTTTTCCCCTTTTGTTTTTTTTATTAGGTGTCAGATCTCTTCTGTTAATGTACACGCACGTGGACACATGTACGTACACCCTTGAGCTGTACTTAACTTTTCCTGTGCAGAATAGCTCTTGGTGTGAGAACCCGTTTCACCAGCTGCGTTCTGAGCCCAGGTCCAGCTGTAGGGCTGTGTCTGCCTGGCAGATGGGCAGGTGTGTGCGGTGTACTTGAAAAAGATACTTGCTTTTAGGCCTTTACTAAGTTATTCCTCACAGGTACTTTTTGCTGCTCTAATATTTTTTTTTCTTTTACACTTGAATTTTGGTTATCGACTTTTTTCCTCTTATTTAGACATGTCTTCTTGAAAGGATGTATTTTCTTCTAAGAGCCTAACTCAGCCCCATCTAACTACGCTAGCTTTTATTGATCTTGCTGACTCTGGCACCCATCTAGACTGATCTTTTAAGTAATGTAAGAATATTGTGCTGCCTGTAAAGACTTAAATTTAACTTCCTTTTAAACTGTTGGTTATCTTCTAGCTTTGAGGTTGCACATTATTTTGGATTTTTCGCCTAAACAAGGATCTGGGGTGTGCCTATCTTACAGACTGCGACAGCCGAGTCTTGAAGCAGGCCTGCGTAATTCAAGACTATGCCAAGAATACTGCTCCTAAAGCTCTACTCTGAGAAAGTACTAAACAAGGATCTGGGGTGTGCCTATCTTACGGACTGCGACAGCCGAGTCTTGAAGCAGGCCTTCTGCGTAATTCAAGACTATGCCAAGAAGACTGCTCCTAAAGCTCTACTCTGAGAAAGTTATCTCTTACAGCATCTAAAAATCTAAATACCCTGTTACATCTTGTGATACTTGCTCAAGTTGAGGAGATGAATTCAAGTCCCTTATTTTTAACCTTACTCTAACTACAGCCACGTAACAGACAATCCACACTGATGTAGTTCATTATCACTTCCACCAAATTTATGTCCTGGTGTTACAAGTCAAAAGAACTACCTCAGTTCTGCCAAGTCCAAGGTACGTTACTGGTATTAAATCCATGTAATTTGTTGGGATTGTTTGGCTGATATTTTTTTTTTACCCACCACCAGTATTCATATAAAACCATTTTGATCTTGGTCATGTTAAAAGCCTATCTTATAAATCCTCCTCATCAAAGCCTTTGCTGGCTCTGACTGCGCTTCGGCTGTTTCCTGCCAGAAGGTCACTGACCCTTCTCCTAACCCTTTTCTCTGGGATACAGGTTTTATGCAGGCTTGACATTTAAAGCAGAGAATCCTTGCCTTTTAAAGGGCAAGGGTAGTTACACAACTCCCAAACACCAGGTTGCTGTTTGTTAAGTGTGTTTGGCCATGCCTGGACTGGGGGAAGCTCTGGGTTTGAAATTCACAGGACGGAAGCTGATGTTGAAAGAATTAAGAAGGCTCTACTGCATTGGACTTTCTAGTGGCTGGAAAGCAAAAGGTCAAACTGGGTGTTCACTAAGTACCTCTTTCTCTGTGGACAGTTTACACAGCTAACACGTGCACTTTGTTCAGCCACTTCAGTGCTGAAGAGAAGAGGTACAGCGTGCACACCAGTAATAACCATAGTGTGGGTAAGGGCATATGCCACATGGCTACGTATCAAAAATTGCCTGGAATCGGTTGGCACTCTTAAGGGTCTTGCATGCTACAATAACAGCAAATGAAGTTCTATAGTAAGTGTTAATACAGGACAAATAGCCTTAAATATGATGACCTTCCAATGTTTCAAATATCTACTTGGGTAATAAAAAATCCCCTGTATTTAAAAACAAACAAACAAACAAAAAAAGACTTGAACATTAAAAACCATCCTGGTCCCAGCAGCACATTCTCACCCAGTATTGAAAAGGTTTAAGTCAACAAGATGTAGGCTAACTCTGGCTGTGGGACCAAGTTGTCCTAGAGCCACTTAAGTAAGGCTTGTGCAAGGCTGCCGTCATTGAAGGAACCTCTAGATGTGTGTACACATATGTTGCAAAAGACAATTCAGACTCGGGGAAAAGAAAGCAGTACAGAGGTTGTATTTACTGCAGCACTTTGAACTACAAGTATGTTAAAGATAACAAAATTATGTTCTGATTTTGTTCCATAATAAATTATCCCATCCTGCTGCCTTTCAGCTGTACGAGAGTGGGTACTGCGTGCATCCCCCAGGCCCAGCTAGCCGACTCTTCGATGCTCTACAGGGAAGCGGCAGGGCTTTGTGGGAACGTGAAGGTATCCACCAGTGAGTGCCTCAAAGCTCCAGTGTGGAGCTCTCAGTATCTCAGTAAAGGAAATGAGGAACACTGACAACCACTTATTTTTATTTTAAAAGGTAGATGGGTCTGTACAATAGCATTATATTGACACCAAAATTTCTCTTGACAGTATACCCCTAAGCAGATAGGTATGCTTTTGCAATAATTTAACTTTATCTAGTTAACTGGGATGCAAAACAAGGTCATTTAAAAAAATAGAATGGCTTTAAGCTTTCACGAGTGATGGAGGAGCAATCTGTCTGGGTCTTGCCAGACACGGCAGTGCTTCAGCAGGCGTTCTGCCTTCTGCATTCCTGTTTCCCACGGGAACGAATTCAGAGAAGCCAAAGTTTCAGGCCCAGTCTCTCACGAGAGCCTCTAACGCTGAGTTCACCAGCTTCCTGAGGGCGCTGAGGTGGCTCTGGAGCAGGTTAGCAAGTGGGACAGCAGGGGACAGAATCCGCTAGCACGGCAGCTGCACCGCTGTCTCAGGCCTGATGGCTCCCTTCAGCAGCAGACTCCCCCCCCCCGCTCCATATCTGTTAAGTCAAACCAAAACCCTGCTCAGAGAACACTTTGCTCTCCGCTTCCCGAACACAGCATTTTAGTGGTTTTTTCACACCCCCGAACACCAGCTAGACCCCAGCATGGTTCATCAGGCAGTGGCCAAGCTGTCCTTCAGCAGCTTTGACCGTTCATGCTGTTTAGCAC